GACAGAAAGGCATTTGATTGGGAACAGAGCATAGACCAGGAGAGGTTGAGCAGAATGGGGGATCTAAACAATCTAGGGGCAGGATCTCTGAAGACAGTGAATTCTTCAACAAACATGCATCCTGTTTTACAGATGGACAGAAGGTGAGGTACATGATGTCTGAGGTGTGTACGCAGATCATAGCATGGCTTGGCCAAAGCTGGATTTAGAACAGGCAAGAAGATAGACGAGGCATAAAAAATGTCCCAGCAGGAGCACAACAGGCAAGAACAGAATCCAATTTTGTCTATCTAATCTCATAATAGGACTATTCCCTTCTAAAAATGAACTGAAGAAACTCAATGCCTGGTTTAAAAACTTAAAAGTCAAGGGCTGGTGAATAAACCACTGAACCCTGACAGTTGTAGACCCTCTTAATAAAACTCCAGCCTAAATTCACTGTTATGTATGTAACTGTGAATGACCTGGAAAGGAGGCAGAGGTGTGTGTGTGAGTGTGAGAGTGTGTGTGTGCATTTATGCGTATAATTCCCCACCCTCTGTGACTTGTTCAACTGAGGGAACTTAGCTTTGAGGGTTTCTTTTTTTTAGCCTTTTTGGCTCATAAGTTTAACAGTTCACTATGGATGGTTTTAAGAAGAACTGTATAAACATAAATTTGTAGCAGATTAAGGAATTAAGGGATGTTTCAAAGGGATTAATTCAATACAGTACTTTAAATGGAAAACTTGATTGTTCCTTTTTTTAAAATTTATTTATTTATTTTTATTTTTGACTGTATTGGGTCTTCATTGCTGCACACGGGCTTTCTCTAGTTGCGGCAAGCGGGGGCTACTCTTCGTTGCAGTGTGCGGGCTTCTCATTGCAGCGGCTTCTCTTGTTGCAGAGCACGGGCTCTAGGCATGTGGGCTTCAGCAGTTGTGGCATGCGGGCTCAGTAGTTGTGGCTTGCGGGCTCTTGAGTACAGGCTCAGTAGTTGTGGCACACGGGCTTAGTTGCTCCGCGGCATATGGGATCTTCCCAGACCAGGGCTCAAACCCGTGTTCCCTGCATTGGCAGGCGGATTCTTAAGCACTGCGCCGCCAGGGAAGTTCCTTGATTGTGCCTTTGAACTAGGATTTTTAAATTTTGATTTACAAGGAAATATTAAAGGAGTTATATATAGTATAAAACAAGCTGTAACTGAATGGAAAAATAATTGCTTTTTCCAGTGACAAACATAAAATAACTGAGCAGGAGTTTCACCTGCATCTTCCCTAATTAACACTCCCCGGCCCCTCTAATTGCAAATAGCTTCCAAATAGGCATGCTCTGTTTTCTTACTTATCCCTGAATTTCTTGGATCACTAAGGAATGAAATGCAGTTTCAGTCCTCAAACAAGTTGTTGAATTTGCTTCTTTTTTTTTTTTTTTTTTTTTTTATTTCTTGGATCACTAAGGAATGAAATGCAGTTTCAGTCCTCAAACAAGTTGTTGAATTTGCTTTTTTTTTTTTTTTTTTTTTTGATATATGTCCCAGAATCAGGTCATATATCAGGTAACAAAACCCAAACATTTAAAATGATTCCTGCAGATGGAAATATCTATATTGTTGCCAGAGGCAGTATGTCAGAATACAGGCACTTCTGCCCTGTTCAAAGAGTTGAAACACTTTTAGCACTCTCAACTTTAATAGAGATCCTTCATCTTTAAAAGGGATCTCATGGATAAAACACCCTTCTGAGAGCTGGACAGAGGTGAGCAGTCTGCAACAAATACCACCATCCATACTTGCCAATTTTAGTTTATCATTGAGAAAGCTCATTTTAACAGTGCATTTATCTGGCAAATCCTAACTGTAGAGTTTTTGAAATGAGCCAAAACCCAAGAGCATGCAAGGCTGGGGCTAAGGAAAAGAGGAAACAAGTTGAAAAAATGAAGCCATATCAATGCACATAGGATAGTTCATCAAGTGAAGATTAGACTGTGGCGCTAATTCATAGTCTGTCAAAATCATAACTTTCCTGTTAGGAAGGGCTTTAAAATTGGCCCTTTACATAAAGTAACAGTAACTGAGAAAACAATTCTCCCTCAGTTGATATGACTTGGATGGTGGACTGTAGCAACAAGGAAAATAACCCAGAGATTATTGAAAATAAAAGATGATTAACTAACTCTCTTAGTGACAGTCAAAACAACATTGGTAAATAGTCTGATAGAGGCAAGATAATGAGCACAAGATTTATGGAGCATTGTCGCACTCCAATTCAGCTAAAATCATTTGTTACCAAAAATATTAGCCAACATAAACAAACATGCATTATTTATCTGCTCTGGAAGAGCCTTCAAATTAACCCTTTGTGGAAAGGTTGGACAGAATAGGGCATGGTTCTTTTTTCAAGATGCTTATGATCCTACAGGAAATAAAAAAACTTGCACAAAAATGATTTTTAGCAAAAGAACTTTGGAAACGGTTTACCCAAAGATATGCTTTTCCATTAAGTTATTTATTTAGGAATTAAACAGTACTGTAACTCAAAATGCTGAGGCAGCTGAATGCAAAATGCCAGAACTAATACAAAATCCGATAAGAAGGGATTTTTTAAAAGGTAGCAACTGTTTGAGAATCAGAAAAACAGGCATCTGGGTTGAGCCGTTTGCTTCAACTGAGCAAGGAATTTGGTCGGAATATCAATCTCCTGTGAGATCCAGCTTTACATTTCTAAATTTCTGTGGTGGTTTTTCCCTACCTCTCTTCCAAAATGGGCTGCAGTGTCCTGATGCAGGCCCGGTGCCGGAAAGGTTTTTCAATTACAGTTTTATGAAGTATGTGAAAATATCAGTCAAAGCAGATGATTCCCATATTTGTGATCTGGAAAAGGGCTGAAACACTACGGCACTCGGGAGAGATACTCCTTCAGATGGTGAGTCTCAGAGGCTTGGTTTCTGGCAACGAAGGAGCCTGGGGCTGGACCAGGCTGGGAGATGCTGCAGCCCAGCCAAGATCGCTACGCGGGGGTTGTGGGCGCGGACAGCCCCCAGATGTATCGTTTGGCTTAACTTCTCTTCTTTTTCAAAAGTGAACCAAGTTTGAAAATGAGGCAATGTCACATGAAAAGCTGGATTTCCAACTCCACTTAAGAAAATAAAAAGACTGGGCAACAGTAGGCAACATCATCCCATGACAACCATATCTGGCGGGGAGGGGTGGTGCCCCCTCCTTAAGTTGGCCTCATCCCTGCCGCTCCTCTGTGTCTCCTACCCCCTGCCCCTTTGGCCACCTGAGCGTACCATTAGTGAGTATTTAACATGTCCATTCAATTCTCTCTTCCCATATTAGAGGTCTCACAGGAATGTAAAAATTCATGATTAACTCTCTAATATGGATATTTTCCAATATGCATTTTATTCTCTAATGTGGATACTCACATTTCAGTTCAAGGAAGAGGAACATTTTCTCCTTTAGAAATCAGATCTGTGTGGGATACAACAACAATGATAATTTCTATTATCACCATTTATTGGATGCAAACCAAATGCTTAGTCCAGTGCTAAGTGCTGTAATGATTAGTTCATTTACTCATCACAAAGGCCATGTAATTTTGTCATCATCATTTTATAGATGATTAAGGGTCAAAGAGGTGAAATAACTTATGGAATGTCAATGAGAGACAGCCAAGGAGAGACAAAGCCACAGGTCATATGTGAGCCCTCAATCCTCCTGATATGAACAAGAAAGTAGAGATTCCCCTAGAGGTTTAAGAGCAGAGCTGTACACTCGTTCCAGCTGAAAGCAAAGACTGAGTGTGGCCACAGCTGGAGCTGAGGGGAGCAGGTAGGGGTGGGGGAGCAGTACGTTTCTCAGAAGACAGCTTTGGTTCTCTTCAATCACTTCACTTATTTTATTTTAGGATACGTCTATAATAAGGGCAGGTCAGTAAAGTCCAAGAGTTCTCAAGTCAAAGACTTGAGTGTGAGTTCAGGTCTGGGGGCCAGCCACTTAACTTCCTGGAACCTCCGTTTCTTGATCTATGAAACGGTACTTTTTAGGGTCAAGACAAAGAGAAAACATGCTTGACGTACATGTGAAAACTGTCTAGACGGTAAAAAGTGCCACACAAGCACTCCCTGGAGAGAAAAGGAACAGGGCAGGCAATGCTCTCTCTCCCAAAAGAAAATTACAGGAAAGGCAGGACAATGACAAGACAATTAAGAGTCTGGTAAATCTATTCCCACTTATCAATAGAATACAGCAGTTTGATGACTTCTAAGAAATCTTTCAGGACATTTGAGTAAACAGACAAACTGAAATATAATAACTTTTGTTACTGCGATGATCCAGAGCTTTCAAAGAGATAGAATGAAATCAGTCATTGTTACTGTAAAGTTCCCAGGAGTGCTTAGGGTCTTTAAACAACCCTTCTAGAACCAAATAACCTGGTTTTACAATATTGTTCATAACCAGCTTAGGTCTTGCAAATAGGCAATAAGTTGAGTTCTCCAATCCTCTGCTGACCCTTGCACAACATGCAACAGGCCAGAGCTGATCTGCTTTGGCTTTGCGACACCTAGTATGTTACCTGACAACGTGCTGATAAAATTAGTGAGTTTTGACACTCAGAGACGGGGAGGCAAGGAGGCGCCTTAAGACTCTGGAATTCTAACATATTGAAATAAGCTCATGTTTGGCTTTCTCTAAGAAAGAAAGAAAGGAAACAAAACTAAGACACTTAAATTCACAGCTGACCTGAAAACTGGAGGACACCGGCAGCAACTTTACTAGATTTTTAAGTGTCTAGTTAAGAAGGAATGCCATTCAGATGTATGGAAAGCAACAGTCCTTAATCTCTTCTCCTTGAGGCCATTTAGTCTCCTAAAAATTAATGAGGGGCTACTGCTCTCCGAGTCATACTGGAGAACTGTCCAGGCTGGAAGTGGAGAAAGCTCTAGATGACAGTCAGCTGGCTCCAGGCTCCAGGGCAGTCAGCCCCTCCTCTGCCAGTCAAATACTGGGTCGAACACAATGATTTTTAAGGTCCTTTTCATTTTTGAAAATATTCACAATTCCACCCCCAAAGTCATGAAAGCTGAGTAATTCAAACAGGTCCCAGCACTGACCTGGCACCCCTACTTAAATAGCATGAGATGCCATGATTCCGTTTATATAAGAAAAATGGCTTCAAGACTATCTTTTGTTTTGTTTCTCTGCTAATGAAGAAATCCACTCTGTGCCACTTCTCAGCACGCTGATGAAGGACCACGTCCCCGCTTCATGTGCACAGACTTAAACCTGATCAGGGCAGCTGACCCGTCTTCCAAGAACAAAACTACAGTGTCATTCGTGCATCATAAGGTTGGAAGGAAGGAAAATGCTGTCAGGTGACAGAGGATCACTTTCCATTCAGCCCCTATAGGCACTTCCTCTAACTTTACAGGGGATGTGGAGGAAATTCTGATTTAGAACAGACACTTTAACTGTAAAGTTTCAAACAACAACCTTCAGCATTAGAAACATCTATGGTTACCCTGGATCCATTCTCTGGGATCAGCTTGAATGATAACCATTAATAACAGGTATGGTTATACCAAAACAGCCTTTTGCTTGCTCAATGCCTTGATTACTTGTGACAAACAGTTAATGAAAGATCGGTATGACTGTTCCCATTTACAGAACAGGGAAGCGTTTAAATAACTAGCTGAGGCTGGCAGGCTGAGGCTGGCAGGCAGAGGCTGGCAGCTTCATGAGGGCAGGACTGTCACCTCTCTTGTTCCGGGACAGACAGCCTCAGCCCAGGTCGGCCACATACTAGGGGGTCCATAAATGTTGGCTGAGTTAAAAGGCCAAAATTCAAAATCAAGCTCCTGCCACGATGCCATCTATTTAAGGCTGATTCTCCCCAAAATGCAAATGAAGGAAAAGAAATACAGTCAATTTTAAGGAAATGAAAGTAAAAAGCACTCCTAGTCTCAGCATTATGTTAACAGGGACCCAATTCTAGAACTTGTGTGTAGGGGGTACTTTTAATGGATCAGGCGCAGCCGAACGACCCTTGACTCGCTGGCATAAGAAGAGCAAAAAGCTCGGGGAGATTCAGTTTGGTTTCTAAGATAACACGGCCCACTTCTAAACCTCCCCCTACATGTTGTTCAAGCAGAGGAAGTGAAACGAAAAAGAAACAAGTTTCAAGCATTGTTAATTAAGCCTTCAAGAAAGGACAACAAAGTGTAGGAAATCTGAAACAAAATCTGAGAATCTGCCCTTAAACTAGGCAACATGGCTTGTTTTCTCACAATGCAGCTGGATGAGAAAAGTGAGGTGGTCTCTGCCCTTCCTGGGCGTCACGTGTGGCTGTCATGACCTGACTGTTATTTGCAGTAAACAGTGTGAAGGGCTCTGGGGAGGTAAGTAGCTGAGATCTGTACTGATGCTATCTTCCAATGAGTGAGAAGTCAATAGCCCTCCCAGCCCTGACAGTCCCACTCACGCTGTTGAGAAGAGAAAGCAGCATTTACATGATGATGTTTGATTGTCAACAGGCTGCAGCAGGGCCAAGATAGATCCCAGCACTCATTTTATTTTATTTTACTTTTTAAATTTATTTTAACCAAGTCTGGTTGATTTACAATGTTGCATTCATTTCTGCTATATGGCAAAGTGACTGTTATATATATATATAAATTTTTTAAAATATTGTTTTCCATGATGGTTTACCACAGGATACTGAATATAGTTCCCTGTGCTATACAGTGGGACCTTGTTGTTTATCCATATTATGTATAATAGTTCGCATCTGCTCATCCTCAACTCCGCCCCCCCCCCCGGCATCTTTGATTTGCAGTCAAATAATCTCATTCATTAAACCTACCCAGTGCTGGAGTGAAGGCCAAGATGTGGAAAAAGCTACATAGCTCCAGAGGTGACCGAGAAAGTACCTTCTGACTCCATTTCACAGTCTCTTACCCATCTTAGTCCTATCTTTTTACCAACACCAATGGAGCTGTAGTCTGGCTCCATTTCTTGTGGAGTCCAATATAAAAACGTGTGTCTATAAATGTAAAAAGAGAAGTAAAGATGAGAGATGGTGGGCGTGGGGAGGTGACAAGCGGCCTCTAGTTTTAGGGCATTTGAACTTGATGTTCCCTCCAACCAGAACAGTCTTGCCCCAGACATCTGCCTTTTTCCGACAGGGGTGTGACAACCATCACTCTCTACTCACTTGTACACACGGACTTCATGCTCCAGAATCGTGAACTCTGCCTGGAACGTGGTAGTTGGTCCTCCATAAACACTTACTGTTTCCAGTTTTCTGTTTCCCTTAGTCTTCTAAAGTCAAGTTTCATATCCCTTCCTTAGGTTCCAAGAGAAACCTTCTACCCTCCTGATAAATTCCTCTCATTTGTAAAAAATTAATACGTATTTGCTGGAACAGGAATAAAAATATGCTCACAGAGGAAATAAGGGGAAAAGATGTATTGGACCCAGGCATGGAGGGTATAAAAAGTCATGGCAGAGTTTAAAGAAAATGAAAACCTCGAGGATTGGTTAGTCAACATTAGCTGTATAAAGAAGTCAGTTCAGAAGTCAAAGAGCGATAAACAACAAGGTCCTACTGTACAGAATGGGGAACTATATTTGACATCCTGTGATAAACCATAATGGAAAAGAATATGAAAAAAATGTATATATATATATGTATAACTGAATCACTTTGTTGTACAGAAATAACACAACATTGTAAATCAACTACACTTGAATAAAATTTTTTTTTAATTATTTTTGGCTGCATTGGGTCTCCGTTGCTGTGCGTGGGCTTTCTCTAGTTGCAGCGAGCAGGGGCTACTCTTTGTTGCAGTACGTGGGCTTCTCATTGCGGTGGCTTCTCTTGTTGCAGAGCACAGGTTCTAGGTACGCGGGCTTCAGTAGCTGTGCCACGCGGGCTCAGTAGTTGTGGCGCATGGGCTCTAGAGCACAGGCTCAGTAGTTGTGGCACGTGGGTTTAGTTGCTCCGCAGCTCATGGGATCTTCCCAGACCGGGGCTCGAACCTGTGTCCCCTACATTGGCAGGCAGATTCTTGACCATTGTGCCACAGGGAAGTCCCTTCAATAACATTTTTTAAAAAGGAGTCGGGGCTTCCCTGGTGGCGCAGTGGTTGAGAGTCCGCCTGCCGATGCAGGGGACAGGGTTCGTGCCCCGGTTCGGGAAGATCCCACATGCCGCGGAGCGGCTGGGCCCATGAGCCATGGCCAGTGAGCCTGCGCGTCTGGAGCCTGTGCTCCGTAATGGGAGAGGCCACAACAGTGAGAGGCCCGCATAACGCAAGGAAAAAAAAAAAAGGGAGTCAAAGAGAGTTTCTTTCCCAGGAAGAGCTTACTCACAAAGGTGGAGGACCAGGGGCAGCCACGAGAAGGTGCTTTTTTCCGACGCACTGTTCTGAAGTTCAAGGACGTTATACGGGGCTGCACTGTGTAACCTGGTGCCAGGAGCACACACAGCTGCTAACATTTTGATTTAAATTAACTAAAGTTAAATAAAATCACATCTCCAGTTTCAAGCAGCACTAGCCATTTTCAAAGGCTTAGTAGTCGCATGTGGCCAGGCTAGATTTAGAACATTTTTCATCACAGCAGCAAGGTCAACTGGACAACACTGATCTAAAGAAATCCAAAAAAACCCTGGGTTCCTCAGCTTCCAAGGAGCTCTGAAATCAAAGGCTTCAAGGGATATGGACGGAGAAGCAGGGCAGAACTGGAAAAGAAGTCCCCCAGGAGAGATGTGTATACTGGCTAAGATGTCCTTGGAAATTAAAGCTCGATCCTGACTCTCCTGATTTCATAAGGAATGTGTTTTACATTAAACGATTGGCCATCTGCAGTATTATAACTGAGGAAGGGACAGAAGACAGTCAGGGATAGGGACTAGAGTTCCAGAGTAAACCCATAAGTTGTGAGTGGCAGCGCAGAAGGCTCCAGAAGTGAGAAAAAAATGGACCAAACTAGGTTTGCAACAAGCTGGCACCTGGGAGGGCTCAAGTCAGCTGGCGCCACCTCTCAAGATGCAAATCCCTCTACCCAGGACAATACACTGCTCACAAAATAAGGCCCATCTGACTCCTAAGGTACCAAACAGTTCTTATTAAACCCCATTTCAATGGCTGGAACCAAATGCAGAGCGAGGCACACAGATCATGTTTCCATTCAAAGCCCACATAAGCCTACAGCAAGGAAATGAACATTTCAGGAAAAATACTGGCCTTTTTTTTTTTTTTTCCAAGGTTTTTGGGAGGGTGTAAGTCACAGCACGCCAAATAAGGGTGAGTTCCCAGAAGAACACAGCAGAGAGGTGACCAAGCCGGGAGAATTTATTCACAGGGGAAAAATCCGAGTGCCCTCTGGGAAGCCACTTCCACTGGACGCTTTTGAAGGAAGCTGAACCCAATGAAAAGCATTCCTTCAGAGCAAGTTTTCTCCCCGAGATTTCTACCTGCCTCTTTAACTTCTCTACCTGGTTTTCCAGCAGGAGTGGTTTATAATCCCTACCTCTCCATGGGCAGAGACCTTAAGCATATTTTTCTCCTGCAAGACAACACTATTTGTCCAGCCCTTCAAAGATTAAAACTAAAAACACAGATAATAAAAGAGGGTATTATAATTAGAGTGTATTGAAAAGAGGGTATTATAATTAGAGTGTATTGCTATTGAGTATTTCCATAAACATTAGGATATCATGGATCCAGGACAGAGACAGTCTCTAATTCCAAAGGACAGGAATGGAAAGGTACAAATAATTCAATCTGTTCCCCTAAGAAATGACCTGATTATCCTCACTGGAAGACTTGAGGAGAATGGGAATTTCAAGGATATGACTGTCCTGTCCATTAAGGTAGCCAACAGCCCCATGTGGCTATTTACATTTAAGTTAATTGAAATAAAATAACATAATTCAGTTCCTTAGTTGCACCTGCCACATTTCAAGCCACATGTGGCTAATGGTACCCATGGTGGGCAGTGCAGATATAAGATCCGGTCACCACTGCAGAAGGTTCTACCAAACAGTGCTGCTCACCAAGACAGCTAAATAATTCGTCCCAGTAACATCATGGAAATTATGAATTAAAAGCTCCCCGAATACCACGTTTCTGAGCTATTGGCATCCTTCTCTAGTGAATTCCTTGCAGAGGTTTATGTATATTGTACAATCAAACCAACCTCCCCGGGCTCAGGCCCATTCAAATGGCATCAGATATAATAAAATGATTCCATTGAGGCTCTCCTCAGTTCAAACTCTAAATTCTTTAGATTTCTAAGAGTATGAAGCGTATGTTTGAGTTACCCGTGGTGCGGACATGCCAGGAAAATATCTATGAGTGAGAGCTGGTAAAAGAAAGTGCTCCCTTGGAATTAATGAATCTGTGCCCTTGTTTGTTTTTTCACACCATATTTCAGAGGAGTCACCAGGCTGTGCGTGGAATGAGGTCTAGATGGAACCTAAGGATAGGTGGGGATACCAAAGCTTCTGGGACTTTTAAGAGCTTCCCTATATATCTTTTGAGGTGCAATGAAGGAACTACTGTTTTAAAAAATCATGAAGTGTTTGGGGAAGGGAAGGATTGGGAGTTTGGAGTTAGCAGAGGCAAACCATTACGTATAGAATGGATAGACAACAACGTCCTACTGTATAGCACAGGGAACTATATTCAATACCCTGTGATAAACCATAATGAAAAAGAATATAAAAAATAATATGTACATGATAACTGAATCGCTCTGCTGTGTAGCAGAAATTACACAACACTGTATATCAACTATACTTCAATAAAATTTTTAAAAATATATTTTTAAAAAAAATCATGAAATGCTACTGCTGGTGGAACCCTAGCCCCACCATGGGGTCAGAAATAAGGGTCCAGGAGCTGACTTGATGCGTAGGGAGGTTGTGACGGGCTCCCCTGCCTTTTGCTTATTGCAGAAGCATGATGGGAAAAGAAGAAAGGGGTCCACTGCCTGAACATCACACACTCCTGGCCTTGCAATGGTTTTAGGATGACATGCCCCTGCTTATGATTTGCTAGTGACCGGAGAATTAAGCCTAAACAACATGGCCTGGCATTGAAGGCCCCCATAATCTGATTATCTTTCTGCTAAAAAACCCATTATCAGAAACCCTTTGATATGTTAACGCCTTCTGCCTTCCTCACCCCTGGCATTTCTACCTTCTCCCAAGATCTACTTGTGCAAGGCCAAGGGATCACCCCCAAGGTGCCTGCCCAGGCCCCAGAAAGAGTTCAGTGCCTCTGCCAGCAGCTGTGAGCTTGACTGTGACCAGGAGAATGGCTTCTCCAAGGAGGCCTGGTGTCCACAGCAGGATGATGCCCACTTTGGCTGCCGTCGGGGAGCTGGAGGATGGCCTCTGTGTGTTCGGTGGGCACACATCACAGGCAGGCGCCTTCCCAGCTTCCCCTGTTTCCTTGCAGCAAACGCAGAAGCGTGACCCTGGCTAACAAATGGACAGTGGTGCCGCTGAGTGGTACTCAGCCCTTCAGACGCAGGTCAACCATTTCCCCCTTTGGAAGGTCATCAATCTCCAACCCAACCCAGAGAGTTCTGCCTCCTTTGGCCTTGACTTTTAACCACCTTTATGGTGAGGTAGGCCTGTATTTACCCCACTCTGCAGGTGAGTTTCCAGAAGTAAAGGGATTTTGATTCTCCTACAGCTCTATAACAAAATCTTGCTTTAGTTATACAGGATTTAAAGTCAGAAGATGTGAGCTTTTGAACCTAAAAAATGGTACTTCTTTGCTAGGAGACATCAAGTAAGTCCCTTGGTCAAATTCTCCATTTGTAACCTAGCTGAGTGGGTTCCACATGAGAATCATCTGGGGATCTTTTGAAACAATACTGATGCCAGGGCCCGACCCCAGGGCAAATGAATCGGAACTTTTAGGGGTTTGGCTCA